TGCTGAACCCCAACTGGTTCTGTGCCAGGTCAGATTGAACACCCGAGTTGTGCTTCAGGGGTGGTACAGAGACATCACAGTGGCCGAGTGCAGGGTGGGCTCAGCCTGTGCTGCAGCCTGTGGGTGGATGTCCTGCAGGTGGGCTGTGTGCCTGGGCTGCACAACAGGAGTGCTGGAGGTGCTTGCTCTCCTGTGTGCCTCTTGGTCTGGGAGGATTACAAGTTGTGTCTTATCTCCCCAGACAGAACTGGTGTCATGTTTGAGCCACCTGCATGCATGGCTAATTGTGTTTAATCATCCCAAAATATGCAAATGTGATGCATCTCCTGGCTGCTCCATTACCTAGGAGCACCTCCAGTAAAGGTGTATTGACTGTCTATTTTTGTTCTCTATAATGGAAGTTGGGCTAACTCCTGATGGTGACACTCCTGCAGGTAGTGACCTTCTCCATCCCACACAACAGCCTTGAACAGAGGTTCTCTTCTTTTCATGGTGTGACTCACCACCTCTCTCCATCCTGCCTGTGTGTGCTGTGAGGCATGACTCTGTGACAATGGCAACAGCTTAAAGGGAGGACTCACTCAGGGGGTGTTGAAAATGTATTTGTAGCCATGTTTTACTGCTGCAGGTAGTGGAGGATGAGGAAGTAACATGGCAGGACAAATTGGCAATTGCTGCCTGTGCTACTGATACACTGTTTGGAGCTCAGTGCTCTGCAAATAACCATTTTTCCATCTGTGTTCAGGAAAATTACTAGTCTGAAACAATAGAAACACAGGGGTTGAAAAAATGTTGCTGTAAATAGCTTAGAATTTATGCATTCTGAAATGCAGAATGAAATATCTGTTTGTACAGTTAAGTAAGGACATTTCCCCATCCAACAGAATCAATGTATTCCATGTTGCAGTAACTCTGCAGCTATTTTGCACCTGCATTTACCAGTGACTGTCTGGATTTCTCACTGCCAAACTGAAGTTTACAAAAACATAAACGAAGGTAAAGACAAAAAAAAATTGGCTAATGGTGGTAAGGGGCACAGCACCCTTCTTTCTGTGAGAGGCAGGCCACAGGAACATGCCAGTTTCACTGAGTGGGCTTCAAGAAATAGTGATTCACTTTCCCTTCTCTGCCCTCTTGTATGTAACACTGCAGTAATAAGTGACACCTTGAGCCCTGGGATGATGATTTAGGTTATTGTGGCAGACACACTCCATGGGCATGGGACTGTTCAGTTTGAAGTTTGTACCATTTGGGTTGGTTTCTGTTGTTTTGTTGTTTTTTATGTCTCTGTGATAATGCAGGAGCTTCCTGACTTTTTTTTTGGCATGGGACTGTTCAGTTTGAGGTTTGTACCATTTGGGTTGGTTTCTGTTGTTTTGTTGTTTTTTTATGTCTCTGTGATAGTGCAGGAGCTTCCTGATTTATTTTTTTTTTTTATGAGCAGATGGAATTTACAATTAGAAATAGGCTCAGTATTAAAAAAATTGTTGGCATAGCAGTGACGATGAATTTGCTCAGTGACAACTTTTATGCATGCAAGTATAGAGAGTGATAGATTGCAGAGACCTTCTACAGCTTTGAGATTTGAAAGCTTGAATAAAATAAGCAGGTTTATGACCTTTTTGGAAAGAGTATTAGTCATGCCTATGCATATGTTGTTTTATACTGCTGTCTGCTTAGGTGAAGTGCAATATGTATGATATGTTCAGTATGACTAATTTTAGAATGTTGCATCCTTGTAGTATGTCTTATATTCCTGCTTATTGCAGGATTTGGCCATGTTCTTCCCTCTACTACCATTGTCTGCTAGCAGACATCAGTGGGCACTCACCAGTTCTGATTAATTTTCTATCTATGCAAATGCATCAACCTAAAAATCATAGCTTAGTTCTAGATGGCATTAATGCCAGGCTGATGTTAGGATGAGGTTACAGAGCATTGGGGTGCTATCTCAGTAGCTCTTTTCTACAAACAATTGTCATAACAATATAATGGGTGCAGAAAAAATTGTTAATGCTATTGTATATGTGTAGGAGGATGCACTTGGCAATAAGGCTTGTTCTGTACATGCCTTGCCTTTAACTCTCTGAAGCAGAAAGCTCAGAATTGTTCTGTATGTGCCTTTAATTCCTCTTCTTCCCTTCCATGTAGCAGTCTTGGTTTAAGTCCAAACAGAGCTTAAACTTCTAATTTTTTTTATTCTTATTTGTTTGGTTCTGCTAATAAAGGTAGAGGAGCTGTACTTCTGTACTCTGCTTGCAGGATTTTCTCTTTGAAGTTGGTTTCATTCCCCCATGCAACATACTATTCTGAATTACTTTTTTTTTAAATCACAAATTCCCTCTTTTGCAGTAACACCAAAAATGAAAATACTGCTGTGGCTGTAAGAGTTGGTGTAAGTTTATTTGTGCAGACACAAGATTGAACCTGACCTGCCAGTTTGCCTTTAACTGCAGTTGCCATTTAGCTCTTGGTTGTGATTGTGTTAGTTGTCAGTAATTGTGTTTGCTGTCTCGGCTGGAGGCTGTGATGAAGAGTGCTTGGAACTGGGGCATTACACAGATAATATCATGATGAAACAGCTGCAGCTTAATCATAATGAAATATGCGTGGGCTTGAAGGGCTGTATATTCTGGAAATTTTTATTACACTTAATTCCCATGTTCAACCTTTTCAGGAAAAAAAAAAAAAGTCTCCCTGCAATTAGAAAGAAATAGATGTAAGATTATAGTAGTAAGTATTATAAAACAAATCTCATAACCTTCCTGCTTCAGGGAGGGAACATTTTGTTTGTCTTTGCCCCAGGTGAAACTGCTGGCAATCTTCTTTATTTTGCTGGTCTTTTAGATGTCTAGACCCGAGTGTCTGATGTTGCATCTCTCTCAGCTGGGGGTCCCAGGGCAGTGTGTCTGTGCTGTCAGTCAGTGCTAGCCATCAGTGGCATCCAGCACTGCCACTCTCAGAGGTTAGGCAGTCTGGGTGAAGTCCTCTGCATTCAGAAATCAGAGGGACTTCTCTGTTTACTCTGGGATTGAAATCTCCCTCTTTCTGCCCAGAAAACAGGCTGAGGTAAATCTCAGTGTATGGCATACGGTATTTTGGGACATCCTCACAAACTGCTAGACTGATCTTTTTCTGTCAAAAGTAGTGTTTCTTTTTGATGTAGGCTGAACAATCCATTGATAGATTAGGTGAAACTAACACAAGATATTTTTTTAAAAAAGTATTTGGTATAGCATTGCCCAGACCTCTAATTTCATTAAATTGATGACAGGCAAATCTGATTAGTAAGGCAACCTGCTCCAATTAAGAAATAAAAAGTGAGGAGCAGAAAAGAACAGTAAAAATGCATGCTATTGGGAAGAAATCAAGTGCTGACACAGAAGATAAAATACCAACCATGAAAACAGTTATCACAGTTGCAATTGCAGTAAAAAGGAATGTGGTTTAAGGGTGGCCTTAAACTGCTAACTATTGAGGAAATGGGACCTGGGAGTCCATTTCCTAATGCACTATTTCTGTGAAACAAGTCCAGATGAGGGGTTCCTTGCAGCTCCTTCTGGACGTACAACTATCTTCTTGAGTTTACTTCATGTGGGTAAAGAGTAACTCTATGGAAACATCTTCTGTATGTTGAGATGAGTTAAAAAAAAAACACCTCCAAGTGTTTTTAAACAAAATGCTGTGGATGATGGCTGGAACTTCCTGTGTCCTCCCTTGCTCTTTTGGAGTCTGATGCTTCATTTGTGTCTGTGTGCAGGCGAACCGGGACGCGGTGATCAGCAGAGCCCCAGACCAGCAGGATGACCGAGCTGTCAGCCTCCAGGATGCTTCTGCAGTCTACGACCTCCTCAGTATCACACTGGGCAGAAGAGGGCAGTATGTCATGCTTTCAGAGGTACCTCCTCCCAGCTTCTGCCAAAACTTCCCCTTGAAACGCGCCAGCAGAGCCCCTGTTTACAGCAATGTGTTGGGAGAGGTGAAAACGAAACGTGGTAGCTGGCAGCTACTAGACACAGCTACAGACCTGTAGGATCACAGGCCAGAAATGTACACAGAACTGTTTCAGACATTAAAATAATTAACGTGCAGGCAGTTGAACAAAGTGGGTGTCTTTGGAAGTGATGGTGTATGCTAGCAAGCTCCATTAATTGGAAAGAGGAAAATGATGTCATAAAAAAATTCAACAACTTCACCTGGGCTACAGCAGATTCCCCCACCCCCAGTTCAATTAGTGAGCCAGGCAACAGTCTCAACAAAAGATAAAAAAAAAAGTAGTCTCATATTTCTCCCAACATTTATTTCTCAGTGCTTGGAGAGAGCCATGAAGTTTGCATTTGATGAGTTTCACCTCTGGTACCAGCTTGCCCTGTCCATGGTGGCTTGTGGAAAGGTAAGGTTCAGACCAAAGGACCTTGAAAGGTCACTCTGCCAAAGGAGAACATGCATCTAGCTTGTTTGTTTGAATGTGCACAGTCATGTATTTTGTGGGAGTAGGTGTCATCAGACAGCTAGGTGGAAGGACAGTGCTCTCCTTTGAGACTCCAGTTGCACTGTGTGATCAGGTATGTACATTGGATATTGAATATTGTTCTTTCCATGTAGTGTTTACTTCTCATTATCAAAGAGAAAATGGGGTTTATGCATGGCTGTGGATTGAAAATATATATATATATAGCTGCCCATTCTCTGCAGGTTCAACACAAATGTGATTCATATGAGAAGGATACTGATGTCTAAGGCTGTCATCAACTCTCTCTGTCTTTGGGTAGTTGTCTTAACATCTCTTTAAGCTGTGTTTTCTCCATCTGATCAATGAAAATAATGACTTGCAGTGATTAACATTTTTGAAGTGTTTGGTGCAAATGATCCTGTGGAAAAAGAAAATGAATGTTTGCATGAACATATGTTTTAGCATAATTTTTATTTAAATTAGTGTTTGTCAAAGTTACTGTCATCAACTCTCTCTGTCTTTGGGTAGTTGTCTTAACATCTCTTTAAGCTGTGTTTTCTCCATCTGATCAATGAAAATAATGACTTGCAGTGATTAACATTTTTGAAGTGTTTGGTGCAAATGATCCTGTGGAAAAAGGAAAATGTGTGAATGTTTGCATGGACATAGGTTTTAGCATAATTTATTTAAATTAGTGTTTGTCAAAGTTATCAGTTAATGACTAAGATGACTAAATCTGGTTGCAAAAGTTAGGCAGAGGCAGCAGGAGCTTTTCTTTAGTCTTTAAAGAGTAGACTCTTAGTCTTGAAAGAGAAGACTTCCTGTAGTAAGTGTGGATGGTACAAAAGTTAGCCTGTTGGTCCTGAGGGTCCACACCTAGACTTTTAGGAGGTGTAAGCAAATTAATGCTGTGTGGTAGTAGACCACTTAATGTGGTCCTTTATTCCATGACCATGGAGTGCAGGGGAATCCATGTGGAACTGACCAGAGGCCACTAGCTAGCAGTCATCTGCCAAAAGATTACTACTGGCTTTTTATGGCTATAAGCTGAGTTGGAAACAGTGGCTTTGGCATGAAAATGGAAGATGAAGTGAGATGCTTTTACAGAGAAGTTTTGTGATGTATAAGTGGCAGCAAAGCTTGAAAAATGTCTGAAGGGATTCCTTCACTTCTGTGAGCATAGGCAAAGCCTTACCTTGGAAGGCTGTGTATTGTTAAGCATTATATTTCAAGAAGACAGCAGAATGAGAGTCTAACAAAACATCAAGGACATGTAAGGGTGTAGTTAGCAGGACTGTGGGAAGATTGAAAGAATTGATTTTTTTATTTTATTTTTTTTTTTACCTTAAAGGGGAGAAAAAAATCTGAGAGAAACAAGTCTTCAGGAGGCACCAGGGATTTACTTGGTGGGACCTTGCAACCTCTGACCCTGTTCTGGGACTCCACAGTTATATCAGCTAGGTCTATTATAATCAAAAGGAGACATGGAAACTCTGACAAACCACGTTAGATCAGCAGGGAGCTGAAGGGAGATGTTTAGTGAGAAAGAGACCCACAGATTCCTATAGGAGTTCAGTACAAGCATTTCAGAATCCAATTCCAAGTGTGAGAATGACCCGTTTTCCTGAAGCTGCTGGTGGAATACTTAAACAATGAGCTTGGTGCAATGGTGCTAATACCTTGCACTGGCTTATGTCAGGTGGGGGTTTTACAAGTCAGGTCCAGCTCCCCTTGGCATTCAGCTAGAGTTAGCACATTGCTGCCCTCTGTGCCTCTGCAAATCCTTCAGATACGTGATCTCTTGATACTGAGGACAACAATGACTAGATAGACTATGATGAAAAGGCACAGTGTCTTCCCATAAATACAGGGCTGGTCTGGGAGCTTTACTGGCTTTACAGGTTGTGTTTCTCAACAGCAGATAATGCTCTAGTAATCTGCCAGAGAGCAAATCTAGATATTAACTGCTCGTGGTTGAAAGAGTGAGTGTATCCAGAGAGTAATTGTGGCTCAATCTTAGGTTAGTATAGAGGAGAGAAATGGGGCCTGATCTTCAGTTTCTAACAATTTGCATGAGAACTGTCTCTTGGCCCTTATGTTTGCATAACTCTTCACCTTCCTGAGAAGTTGCTGAATATTTGGTAGTTAAGAGAAAAAAGAGCAACACAAGTATCTGTATTTCTACAACTGTCCTATCTTTTCAGATTTTTAAGTGTGTCATGTCATTTTGCCTGTACTTTAAATATTTACAAGGTAAAATGGCCTTATCTTGCTTAATGATATAAGAGCTGTAAATGTTCTAGAGCCCTTTATGGGGCAGAGGGAATTCCCTTACCCAACAATCCCATCTGTGCAGTGTTTCACTTCTAATCCCAAAGTATTCCTTGAGGATTCCTGTCGTATACTCCGCAATGCGTCATCGTGCTAATGGGAAATGTGGCATACATTGTTATATTGCTTCACAGCTTGAGAGCAGGACAGGGTTCATTTCAAAGTAAGTGCTCCAGTGTAGCAGAAAGAACTGATGAGAAAACAGCGTGGCCTGTCTAGACTGCAGAATGTGGAGTACACTTGAGCTTTCATAGGTAGAAGATCAGTTTTCACCTGTCTCAGTCACAGCCAATTCCTGATCTGATTTCTTGGTAATGAAATCTCACATCCTGCAGCATTACTTGTTCTGCAGTACAGCAAATCATGCTCATAAATCCTGGGTACGACAGGAACAGTTTTATTAACCTGTAAATGCTGGAAACCTTGGTCTCTCTGTTCTTTAACATATTTTAAGGATTTTCAAACTCTGACCTTCTTAAAAGTGCTGCAAAATGCAATCTTGCCCTCTCTTCTACACTGCATTTGACTTGTGCTACTTTTATTTTGTATATTTGTCTTTTTCAGGTTAAGGCAATCAAGTTGAATTTCAAACTATTTTCTTCCTCTGCCAGCCAAAAAACCTGCCAAACGGTGCCTGCCATTTTTTACAAGTGATCAGTCTGAATGTCAAGCCTGCCACCTAGGCCTATTACTGTATGTAGGCTTGAGTTTGCACATTATTCTGCAAAGCACACGTCTTAACAGAAATAGGCACCTCACTTCAGCAAGTTCTTACAGAGCAAGCGGGGCCTTAGGGCTTCATAAAACAGTGAATGAAAAAGCTCAGAGAAGCATAACCTTCCTGTCTGTCTTCTGTCCACTTAAATAATGGAAATAATGGAGTGACAGCAACTACACTTTGCTGTGCTTCTCAAAAACTTGCATAATGAGAGTGATGGTGTGGTCTTGGTTTTTTTTTTGACCTATTCTTGGGAATGTATGTATACAGAGCTGTGTTTTTGCTGAACAAAAGGAACACCTTTATTTAAATGATTAAAATCCACCATGAAATTCTGAAGACTTGCAGGCAATTCTAGATGAGATGCTGGGAAAACTTAGACAATGGCAGAGACAAAGTGAGAGTTGCCCTGTACCACCAAGTGCAGTTCTGGATAGGCAAGAGAAAGGTTTAAATCAGTCTAACACAGCACCCCTGTTCTTCTGAGCTGGGGCTGGAAAACCTGATATTGAGTATCCAGAGAGTAATCGTGGCTCAATCTTAGGTTAGTACAGAGGAGAGAGATGGGGCCTGATCTCCAGTGTCTTCCAGCCGCTTTGCGCTGCCTCTGCTGCCGCTAGCCTTTGAGGTGTGGCAGTGCAGCAGGCAGGGGCTGAGTGGGCAGAGCAGCTCCCTGGCTCGGCTGCCACGCAGAGACAGGCTGGAGTCTGAGTGGCGAGTGGTATGATAGCCGGGTGCCATCTGGCAGAGGCCTCGGGCAGCGACATGAGCCACTGTCCTGCTGCCAGCGTACGGCGAGTGCAGTGGGTTGCATCTGCCTGTCTCCAGAGCTTGACAAAGTAAAGTGGCCTGTATTCAGCAGAATGGGGAAAGGAGGGACCAAACTCTTATTTACAGAGGAGAGGAGAGTTTGTAGTCATCACAGGAGTGACGAGAGAGGCAGCTGTTTGGGGCAGGCTTGTTTCCTGCTGCTGCTTTTCAGCGACACGTTTTCCACTGGAGGTCATGGAGACCACAGGCAGACGGCGCTCCCGCAGACTGGGGTAGCTCTGCTGAGGTATCCCAACTTGGAGGCAGAATTGTCATAGTGTCTAGATGATCTATTACAAGCACAGGGGATGTGAAACAGGGTCCCTGTGCACTCGCAAGCATTTCCCTGGCCTCAGACCAGTTGGATCAGTTACGTGCTCCCTTGTTCAGGTTTCTGTCTTCTTCCACACCTAACAGCCTCACACGGGACCTAGTGTCCCAGCAAGGCTGTCCCAGAATGTCACGGGAGCTCTCTGGGAGTAGGGACTCCCAAGTGCTTTGTGGAACTGAACTCTAGCTTAAACTGACAGTACTTCAGAAAATCTTCTAGATCTGCATCATGTCTTTTTTACCTGTCACGCTGCTTAAGGAAAGGATAAGCTGATAAAATACATGCCTCGAACAATGTGTGGCAACATTGATGACTCTCTTCTAGATACCAACCAAGGAGACAAGATTTGTTTAGTGATGACACTGTGTATTTTCCTAAGGGCAGTAAGGGAGGGACTCTTCAAGGATAGCTATGGAATTATTTTGTGAACACTGTATGCTTAGTCTGAAAGTGCTGGGTATCCTAATTGAGACATTCAACTCACAGCAGTCTTATAATGATCTCTCATGCCCAGTGGATGATTATTATTGTTATTAGTGTAGGCAGTGCATAAAACCATTTTCATGCTCATATTTAATGTTTCTGCCAAAAAAGAAAGGAAAAAAAAAAAACCAACAAGAAAAAGAAAAAAGATGACAGCACAACTTGGTTAGTGAATTAAAGGCTTTAGGATGTGTGTTAGTTGAGAAGGGTGGGAAGTGATACAGGCTCAGGCCAGCTGAGGGAAGCGTGGAGCATCTGCTAGGAGAG